CTTGGTTGCTCATGTAGCTGTCAGAGATGATGCCCTGGTGGGTTGAAGGAACTGAATTGATGTTGATTTACGGTAGCAGACCTGATTGTGAAACAGGTTTGGTTGCTGACTCCCAAACAGCTCCTGTCCCTCAGGAGGGAGCATGAACCTCTGAGAGGGCAAAGCTGGGTGAGCTGTCCATAGTCAGAAACAGGGGCCCTTCCTCGGTTCCTAGCATGATTTAGAATTAAAACTCCTAAAGCCCAAACTCTCCAGCAGGTTTTGGTACCAGGAGTATTTTGAGGTCTTGGGTCTGTCCTCTTGAGTAGCAATGAGATACAAATTTTAATTCATAGGCCACTTGGAATCGGATATGGTCTTAATGTGGAGATGCAGCTGATGAAGGCCCTTCATGGATGGTGCAGCACTGGCTGGGGTCTGTGGGAATAAAATGCCAGCTGCTCTGGGTCGTGCACATTTGTTGTGTTGTCCATACGCAGAAAGAAGTTTAATCAGGCCTCCTCTGGATAAAATATGTGTGCCCTTGTTCAATAGAAAATTACAGTTCCATTAGTGCATCATTCCATATGGCAGAGCTCACTTCACCATGTATTAAGAGATGGCCTTTAGGGGAGATGAGCTCTTTGCCATAAAGCTCGGCAGCTGTTGAACAGCAAGTGGAAAATTAACAACATCTTCATAATTCAAATGGTAGAAAATTTCCTCCTTCCACAGACTCCCATTTGTTGAGGACAATGTTTATGTCTGTTACAGACAGAAAATTAATGTGATATTAAATGTTCCTTCAAGAAAGCCTCAAAGAAAACTTTAAGTGCTACAATTTATTTTCTTTTCCTTTTTTTGGAAGATCTGCTATTAAGTTAAATGATCTTTTAATTGTCTAGCTTAAGAGACTTCATATGTATATTTTAACCATCAGCAGGAACTCATGGTTAGTGAGCTTCAGCAGTGATGTCAGGCTCCTGATATCATTCTGTCAGATGATGATTGACATGCTCCTTTTCGGGTGGGTGTTTGACACGGGACTTTTTTCTTCACCTAGCACCAAACACCGAGACGCAGCCCTTGCTGACTTGGAAGAAGGCCCAAGAGACAGTGCCCTGGAACATCATCTTGCTGCTTGGAGGAGGCTTTGCCATGGCAAAGGGCTGCGAGGTGAGGCTCACCGCAGATGCCGTGTTGCAGTCATCCTGCCCAACAGAGTTGGATTTTGTCAGGGTATCACTTGGGGTTCTTATGTGGCTCTGGGAAATTTGCATCTGCAGGGTCACAACACTTGAAGGACATTTTTCTCAACTCCAGGTGACAACAATGTGCAGCAGATAACTAAGGAGGTTAAGAAATCTTGCAGCTCCTTTCAAGCTGCTTGCTGTTAAATACCCTGAGGATGTTGCACACCAGCTGGTATGCTGGTGAAGGCCGTATGTAATTTGCTGTTCTAGGAGAGGATCCGTTCACCTGCAGGGATGCAGGAGCTCCACTCTCCAGCTTGTTTGCTCTCCCCTTCTGCAGGAGTCTGGTTTGTCTGTCTGGATAGGAAGCCGTCTGCATCCCTTGGAGGGCGTACCACCGCCCGTGGCTGTGATCCTCATCACGATTGTCATCGCCTTATTCACGGAGTTTGCCAGCAACACAGCCACTATTATCATCTTTCTACCTGTCTTGGCAGAGCTGGTAAGGTAGTCCTGCGGCAAGATCAGCTGCTCCCCTGCTCCCCTCCTTGCCCTGCCTCTTGGATGGGCAGGTTTGTGTTGTGTCTGTGCTGGGACAGGCACCGTGCGGTTCTCCTGCTCCTGGGCTTCAGGCCCTTTGAAATCCTTGGGAGCAGCAACGCAAGTGCCTGTAGTGCAACACGGACACTGAAGGATAATAGTCCTTCAGACGTTGTTGGCAAGATATGTGATTATTTATCGGAGTGTGGGCTAGGGCTCTTCATGGTGCGCTAGCTATTTGCATTCTGTGATGTATCTGCCTACGACTCCGAACCCCCGAGGTGCAATTTCTGTTCTTTTCTGTTTTTCAAGGCCATTCGTCTGAAAGTAAATCCCCTCTATTTAATGATACCAGGAACAATAGGATGCTCCTACGCATTCATGCTGCCAGTCTCAACACCTCCTAACTCAATCGCGTTTTCTTCTGGACACTTGATGGTCAAGGATATGGTAAGTTCTTCTAGATACAGAAAAAGCTGAAAACAATCAGCGTGAGTGCAGTGTTTAAAAAAGGAATTTTCCAGATTGTTACTAGTTCAATGTGTAGTAAAATGAAAAGACAAAAGTCTGACACTGTTCTCAGCAGTGTTTGAAGGGATATGAAAGGAGCCTGTATGATGTCTGTCCCTGTGAAATTCGGAGCCACCATGGCTCCAAATGGTGAAAAGATGGTCTTGAATGTGCTCAGCATCTCGCAGACCCTGCTCCTGTTCCTGCTAGTGTCAACAGCTTAACTTCATGGGTTTCTGCATGCAGGAAAAGTTCCCCAGCTCAGTGAAATAAAGCTTATGAGTAACGTTAGGCTCAGTCCCAGTTCCTGTTCACATTCCTGAGGCTAAACAGATGTTAATATGTTTAATGGATCAAAGCTTGGTAAGCATCTGCAGAATGGCCTTTGTGGCTTAAGAAAGTCTGCTTAAGATGTTGCTAATATTATTGGCAATTAAGCCTTCCATTTTTATAATGTTTATATTTAAATAGCTTCATGCTTCACATGCTGTAGATGTCCAGTCTAAACTCAACAGTTGTCTTTGTATTTCTTTTGTAGGCAAGAACTGGGTTGCTCATGAATCTTATGGGAGTTCTGCTTCTTAGCTTGGCTATGAACACATGGGCCAAGAGCATCTTCCAGCTGGGGACCTTCCCTGCATGGGCCAACATCCATGCAGAAAATGCCACCTCACACTTGACAGCTGTAGAAAATGTCACTTTAAGTGCACTAAATAAAATATGAACAAGCCACCCCTGGGGAAGGACTCACTCACTTAGGACTTGGGCACTGGAATCGTCAGAGTATGCACAGGAGGAAAGGCATGTGGCTGCTCACACTGTGTGGGACCCTCTGGTTTAATTTTGGTTTTAGAGATACTGGTCAGTGTCACAACATCCATTTGTTATTTTCTCTGAAGATCTTTCCCCACCTTCCACAGGTACCAGTCAGACTCTCCCAGAGTCCATCTGTCACAGGTGGTTGTTAAATGGACAACCCTGTAAGGATCAAGCATCTTTGGGTAGATGCTTCTCACCCCATGAAAGCTAATGAGCTTTGCTGCTCTACCTTCTGATACACTACCTCATTTTGGAGAGCAGCCCTGGGAACAGGGTGGAGGCAACTGGGTTATTTATGTGCAACCCAATGTGAGTGAGTGTATCAGAATCTGGCTGGGGGAAGGTGGCGTGGCCGGGTGCTTCTAGCAGGATGTGAAGGATGGGGTCTCATTACCATCACGTGAGTAATTCTCTCATGGAGGATAAAGACTGTTTCTTCAGGTTTGTGCGTGAAGGGATGATTCAGGAGATGTGTCGGTAGGACTCGGTGTATTACTCCATGCTTTGGAAACAGGAAGGCAACAGTTTGTTTCCAAACACGTTCAGTGTTTTGAAAACCTGGGACAGTAATTGCTGCATGGTTCTTTGCACTGAGTACACAGATGAGGGGTTGGGACCAAATTAATTTCTGATGTAACTTTGGACATTGGTGGTGTCTCACTGTTGGTTAATGTGGCCAGTCTTAGGTTTGTGAGATTGACTCACTCATGAGTGACCCACTGAGTCACGGGTCAGTGGACAGGTTGCATTGGAATATTATTGACGTTTCTGAAAAATAGGCTTTGATTCTTAACATCTTTTAAAATCAGATTGCTTGGGTACTTTCAATGAAAGCATTGCAAATTGACTGTGATTTTAATCACCATTTTATCTGTTTTTTTTTTTTTTTTAATTTTCTGTAAGAATCTAAAATATTTAATTTAAAAGATTAGTTATTGAAATAGATGGATTGAATGATAAAGGATCTGATCTTGGTTTAGGGAAGGTGAGTGACTGAATCTCTGTGCTGGGACAGATTTCTCTGACAATATAAACTGGTGGAGCTGGCAACGCAGACTGGCCCAGGACAGGGATCCCCCCTGCTCCTGTGCTGCTGATAAACCCCGGGGCCAGGTGGGAGAGCTGGCAGGGCAATGCTCACCAGCCACAGCTACTGCTGCGGGGGATTACCCTAGAGTTGCATGGTAGGTGGGGACTTGTAGGGGTTGAACCGAAATTGCCAAAACCAATTGAATGTGGAACTTGGATCAGTCAAGTTAAAAAAAAGTCCTTAACTTTCAATAAAACCCTTAATGATTGTGGAAAACTTACAATAAAGCACATTTGCTAGCACATCACATCGTCCTGTTTGCTCTGTAGATTGAGGGGAGAAAAGCAAAGCCCGTGCTTCCTCTCCCCTAGCTTCACCCCTCGATTTGGGCAGTGGTTCCTCAGGAGGAGCAGGAGGCCAGTGAGGTCTCCTTCCCAGTCTGAGCCAAAATGGAGCCCTGTTAAGCAGCGGAGCAATGAAACTGGGAAGATGTGCAGCCCCAGCAGCTGCTTTTGCTGGGGGTACCCCGTATCACTGTCCTGCTTCCCCGGGGCAGCTCCATGCCGGCTGTGCAGTGGGTTTGGGCACCATCATTCTGCAGGGATACGCTTCGTCATACCTCAGCGAAGAGGGGCTGAATGGGGAAGGGAAAATTGCTCCCTGCAGGTCCCTTTTCCAGCCAACTGTCCCACCAGCAGCACGGCATCACTGTCCCGGGGCCAGGGAACGGGCTGTGCCCTGTGTGGCCAGGCACTGCAGGACAGAGCCCTGCTGTACCACTCCCCTGCTGTGGCCGCTGCTGGGTTGGTCGCTGGAACAGGGCTGCCTCTGTCCCTGCAGCCTGGAGGACAGGCAGCGAGGGTCTTGGATCGTCTGGTTTTGAAGCTCAAAGGGTAACATCCAGTCCAGCTCTGTTGCAGATGTAGGGGTCACTGGTTTACTTACGGTCTCAGCTCTGGCTTGGTGCATTCTGGTCGAATCCAGGAGGATGGTTTTACTTGGGCATGAAAACAGATCTGGGACCACAATGTTTGTGTGGAAGTCTCCAAAAATCACTCCCAGCATCGTGGCATGTCTGTGGCACTGTCTGTCCAGAGATCAGAAGGTATTTCACAAATGCAACCAGGGAAGGTTTATTATGTCTGTGTTGATATGGGAAACAGGCAGAGAGGGGACCAGTGACTTACCCAAGGTCACACAACAGGGCCTTGGCAGATCTAGGAAAGGTGTGAGGAGCACCTGCATCCTAAACCTCTACTTTAGAGCTGGCAGAAGCCAGGTTTTTGACTGGCAGCAGCTTCTGCATTTCCCAGGGCTCCCCACAGGGTCTGGTTTAAGGCGTGTGGATGACAGCAGTACCTAATTCTGCTTTTTTCATATCCAGGCATCTGTGAGAGCAGGTCCAGTCTGGCATGCTTGATTTTTAAATATTTTTTTAAACAGAGATTTTAAGATTTAGTATTTCTGGGGTTCAAGGGTGAACTAGCCTGTGTGAATAATTTCTAATTCCATTTCCCGCTGCTAGTACTAAGATTTGCCAAAAGCAGCTTTTCACGGTAATTCAACCCCATTATTCTTGAAGGGTCAGCGATGGGAGTAGAGATATGAAAATTCCCAGGAAAGGGCATTTGAAGTGGTGTACTAACCTTCTGTAACTTTGACTGTGTTGTTTTAAAGGAACTTTGCCTGCCTGTGCACTGTTTCTCTAGGAACGTCAAAATCCAACAACCATCACAAAAGCCATTCACATTAGCAGCCTGCTTGTGAATTTTAATTAACAGGAAATGCCACTTGCGCATGGAAATTCAACATCCAGAATATCTCTGCTTTACTCCTTTGATGTTCCCCGTCCAATCCCGGACCAACATCCACATGTTCTCCTGAGACACTTGGAGGAAAATCATTCTGGTTTATTTACAGTAGGAAAACATTTTGTAGTATCTTTTATCCCAGAAGCATTCAAGTTGCTTCACAAACTGTTCACACAGAAGAGCTGCTATATGGGTCCCTACAGCAGTGAGTGGTTTGGGGCTGTGCTCAGCTGATTTGCACTTGGCAACAGTGCTGGAAATTCATGAGAGAAAGGGAAAGATTCCTGAAACAAATGAAAGCCTGGCATGGTAGGGGAGATTTAGCTATCGCAGGTTAGATAGCCTGAGTTCCCTTATCACATTTATCCCTCATCAGTCACTGAAAGGATATTGCTGGGATTTTTCTGTATTTCTATAGTAGAAACCTAAGATGACATGACCCGTCTCTGTATCACTGTAAGTTGTTCATTTGCATGTGATTTTTGACAAGCAAAGAATCACCACTAAAGGGCTAATCTTTCCCACACCCTCAATTTCTTGAATTGGCAAATAATGTGATCAACAGCTGCTGATGATATCGCCATGGAGAAATATCTTCAGCCTTAAGTCATCCTATTTTTAGCCTCCATTCACCTTCTTTACTCAGTCACTTTCTTAAGCTGTATAGTTCATGTACCCCCTTTACGTTGTACCCCCTCCCTTCATCATCACCACCGCAGGGTTACCCTGTCACTGCAGGCTGAGCTTGCTGGTGTCTTGACAAGAGGCTCTTGTTCAAACTGCCCTGAGACCTGCTTTATGAGCACTGCAGTCTGCAAAGCAGAAATGGGTTGAAAATCTCTGTTCTGGTGGGTAGAAGCCCAGTCACCATCCCTAATCAGGACAAAGCCAGGCTATGCTTCCTGGCTACGATACAAATGAAACCCTCTGTTGTCTTCTCATAGTTATAGCAAGCTAGTTGCAGGCATTTGGGTTTCTTCTTCATCTCCTACTGTAGTGCTAAAACGTTTAAATCGGGGATGTTAGAAAATTTTTGAGCTTGACCTCTACAGAGGCTGGAGCTTGTCAAGAAAGCAAAGCCCCTTTATACCACCTGGGAGCTGGGCCACAAGTTCCCCAGTAAAACAGGGTGAGAAAAGGCACCTTGGAGCGTCCCGGGGGGACACAGCTCAGGCATCCCGAACACTGGCTCGCCAGCCTCCCGTTTCTCCTTCACTTCCTCAGTTTTCCTTAGAACGCTCCCATCCACAGACTATGGTTTCCGAGCTGAACCGAACACAGACCTTCAGGTAGTTTAGCAGAATGTGACCGCAAGATGTCACAGTTGCTTCACTGAGATCCACAGTCCTGCCCGTGTCCTGCTCCCCAGCCTTCACCCACGGCTATTCATGTATCTGTATAAACACACAGACTTTTAATGGATTTTTTTTTTTTTTTTGGCAAAGCAAACTTGTTCGTTGTGTCCTGGGGAAAGTTAGGTATTGACGGTTCTAGCTCATTTAGAGGTTATCAGTTCAGGGTATAAAATAGAAGATAGTGTAGATTGAGGATACTCCACCTGCAGAGATCAACTTTGAGTTGAACCAGAGGAAAATCTAGGTTTGACTTCGCATACAAAAGCTGCTTGGTGCTGCCTGGGGTTTCTGGCCAAGCATGGCTCTCCCACAGACTTCAGCTCCCATTTGCCAAATGATGCAGCAGGCTCAGGAAATACTCATCACTACGTTGTGAACTTGAGGCTTTTTTGTTCTTTATTGCTAACACTTTTTTTGTGGCCTGGAAAGCTACCTGCTTAGCCTGGATGGGGTCCCAGGGGATGATGAAATCAGTTAGCTCAGAAATACAGTGAGAAGGAAGTTTAGTCTCAGAATAGTGACTAAGGAGAACCTGATAGCTATGGGCCTTTTGGGGTGGTCGTTCATAGTCTGCAAATTGAATTTGGCACCTAGTTCATGGCCTGTGCAAGCAATTGCTATGGATGCTCCAAACAAATGGCACTTTCTTTCACGCCCGCCTGGCTGGTGCCTCTTCCCGGCTGGAGCCAGTCAGAGTTTCTCATTCAGTGTCTGTGCTCCAGGGCAGCAGGAGGAACCTTTTGCTCTACCAGCCATGTGGGAAAAAAGAAAAACTCTAACCATAAAGCAGAATTGATGAGTGAGGCAGCAAGGGCAGAAAGGACCTTGTCTGGTACCTGCAGGAAGGGCTGAGGAAGCAGGCAGAGGTTTGCTCGGCCCGCTTGCGCTCATGGTTGCTCATCCTCCAGCGACTGCCGCTGCCGTGGGGTCTGGCCGTGTCCCCTGGGGAAGGTGCTGTTCTCCCACCGCTCGCCGGAGAGCAGAGCCCTGCGTGCTCCGTCCCCAGGGGCGGCCGGGGCAGGGCTGACCTCCAGCCCTTTCCCCTCTCCTGCCCAGGGGAGCATGAGAACATCCCAGGGGCCTGGCGGTTCCCACCCGGCAGGAGGGCTCAGCTCGGCATGGGACAGCAGGTCCCCGTAAGGACTGGGCTCAGCAGTGGCTGGGTGAGCTGTGTTGCCTCTGCCCACAAGCGTAGCTTGGTGTGAAAGTGTGTGGCAAAGGGGCAGGTTTGGTGGGAGCCAGGGAAAGCTCCTTCAGCCCATGAGCTCAGTGCCAGCGGGTAGGCGGCGGTGGTACCTGTTTCTTGTGTGCCAGCTGATCAGAGGAGGGGGAATCCTCTTCTTTGGAAACATAACTGAGGAACAAACGCCACGGGCTGGTCCTTGTCTCCTGGTGTGTGGGTTTGGTGGCTGGAGCTCTGTGCCCTAGGGGGTCAGGCAAGCGGGTCGCATGGGGACCACATGTCCTGGCTCACATGTCTGGGAGCTTCCCAGCACTTTGGGAATCCTGCCTGTGGCAGGGCTATCTTTTCAATGGATTTGCTGGCTATAGGGAATTGCGGAAGTTTGAAGTGTTTTCTTTCTCTGCTAGGACTAAGATGAGCCTCTAAGCTGTTTGTATACCCTGCACATGAGCACGCAGTTTCAGCAGGGAGCAGCAGCCTGCCGGCAAAGATGAACAACTATCAGCACATGGTTTGCTGGATCCTACCATGCCCTTTATGCCATGACTGATGTCTGAAAGAGGAAAAGCTCCCCTTCTCTCTGAGAGAAGTCCCAATCTTGCTGCTTGCTGGTGGGCAGTGGGAGGAGTCAGCTGGAGTGAAACAGCTGATTTCCCCATGAGAGATGGGGTAAGGTGCCTTGTGATGCTTGTTTCATCTTCATCAGTCCATATGTCATTGACTCATTTTTTTTTCAGCTATGTGTCACGAAAATAAGCCTTCTCTAAAACAACAGTAAGATCAGATGAAGCGTAAAGCCCAAGCAGTGCTGTGCATCCCGGCTCTGTCCTATGGTGGGGTTATTCCCTGGGCTTGTCCACTCACTTCAGGAATTGAGGAATCGCTGGTGTTGCTGACCTGAATTGCCTTAAAACGTCCTTTTTTATTTTTGAATCCTGGCTCTCTGGTGCCAGCTGCCTTGGTTTCCTACCCTGCAGCTCCCAGCAGCTGCATCCAGGATCCTTTCTCAGAGAAATAAGGCACTGGAGCATGGAGAATTTTCGAGCAAGACTGGTGCTCCTCTCTGCTGCTGGGTATGTAGTGTCTGCTTTAATCCCTCACCTTCTTTCTGTCTTGATAGCTATTGAATGGTCATTTTTCACTGAAAAAACTTTGCTGGTCAAAAGTCTCCCTCAGAGGATAACTGAGGCTGCTGTAAGGTGGTGGGAGACAGGGATGGCCTGGCTGGGTTTAATCCTGGGGAGAAGCTCTTTCTCCCCACCAGGTTTTCTGGTCTCTGGAGAGTCACTCCAGATGTGAGGCCTGAGAAAAAATCTTCCTTCCCAAATGTTTGTTTTCATTAGACATTTAAATAGCTTTATGGGACATTTCATCCTATCTGCAGTGGCCAAATTCTTATCCTTGGAGATTTCCTCTGGCACTGGAGCTTCAGTGTGAAACTGTTTTCTCTGATCAGTTCTGTATTTGTCAGTTTTAAACCTGCAGATTTTTGTTTGGTCTCCTCTTAAGAGGCAGGGAGATCAGAAATTCCCACTCAACTGCCTCTTATCTATTGAACACCTTGTAATTACAGAGCTGGTCTAACAACTTCCACAGCAGCACAGAGCCTCCTCTTTCTCCAGCATCCTCTAAACAATCACTGCCAGTGAGCTGACCCCTCTGAATGACTTTATTATGATTTTTATAGAATAATACAATGCTTTCCTGTGCTTGCATTAGAGGAGGAGCAGTCACATTGTACTTGGTATTTGATCTTTCAAGAAATGCTTTGAACTTCCCTGTCCTCCATGCTTCCAGGGAAGATCTCAGTCCCAGCTACTCAGGTTAGCAGAGAAGTAGAGAAGAGTGAGACAGGAGGCACTCAGAGAAGGACATTGTAAAGGCCCACAAGTGATTATCTCGAAAACTTCCTCTGCTAACACCCAGGTATTTGTTCTTTTTACAGGGTGAGAGCCCGTGTCTACTGTGAAGACTTTCTGTTCCCAAAGGTGTGCAGGACTGCAGCAGACCTATGGTCAGTTTACTCCAAGCCTGTCCCAGCAAATGGCAGAGAGCTGTGGACCTTGTTTCTGCAGTGTTCCTGCATTACAGCAGTGATAGGAGGCCTCTTTTACAACTGGATGTTTGCTTCCCTGGAGTACTCCTGGCATCTCTCCATTGCAATGGCCGTCTCCTTCAGTCTGCTCCTTCTCCTCACCCTTTTCTTAGTGCATCCTGCCCGTTGTGTCTTCAGTATCATCATGCCTACGTTAGGTACCAAACAAGGCCGGAAGCTTCTCTTGTCAACCTGCATCATGATAGCAGTGGTTAACATAACACCCAACATCATAAGCAACATTAAAACCATACTGCAGGTTATTAAGTGTATCTGCAAAAATTCCTCTGAGAGTCTTTTGAACTCAACTGCTCTGCTAGAGACAGCTTCCTGGGAGTTTGGGGATGCAATCCAAGAAACTGGTCATGCCATTAATATTCATAGGCCTATGAATGGACACTTTCAGTTTTCATTGCTTAAGAACAGCTCCTTCATTTACCAACAAATGCGTCTCACTGGTGAGAAAATTGGGAGGGACTTTTTGGCTGTTGAGGTGCTGGTCAAAGACTCTGTACGAGTAGGCAACAAGCTGGTTGCTGGCTTCTCCATGCTCTATCTCTGTTTCGAGTCTGCCTGGTATTTGAAAAATTATCTCACCAATGTCCGCTTTGACAATTTTTACATCACTAAGAAGCTAGAGTGTTTAGCTGTGGACAGAAAAGCAGCTTATCTGCTGGTGGGCTCATCCAAAAACCTCATTCGACCAACAGGCTTGAAGTTGTCCCGGGAAGAAGTGATGCTGTGCCTCGTGCAAGCCATGCTCCTCACTGTGGCCCTGATGCTGATGCTGGTGGTCATGGCGATGGACCACTTTGCATTCCGAGTGGCAGACACTGCGGTGAGAAAGGCGGCTCTGTTCTCCGTGGTGCCTGTTGCTCTCAGCATCAAATACAGTGTAAGTGCTGGGGTCCCCTCTCCTTCACTGCGCGGGGACCCTGCTGTGTGTCACATCACAGGAGGCGGTGGTGGGGATTGCAGCCTTTGTAGCTTTATTTATGTGGTCTGTACTTCCCTCCCCAGCAGCCAGCTGGACAAGCTACGTAGCTGGCTTGGCAGGGAGGAGGTTGAGGCACAGCGTCCGTTGCTCCTTCCAGTGCATGAAATCGCAGAGTATATCTGCTCCAAATTACAGCCCCTTGGGCATGAGGAGGGGAGCAAATAGTGCCTGATGCTGCAAAGATGCTGTTAGCACAGGGCAGTCAGATGTCCCTGTGTCTTCAGGTCCCTTCCCCAGGCAGGGCTGAGGAATGCACGTCCCTGCAGCACTGTCCCCCCAGCCGCAGTGTGGGTGCAAGCACAAAAGGAAGAGGGAAGCAGATGAATGCACGTCTCAGCTGTTGGGATGTCTCCTCGTCTTATTGCACTGGCTGTTCTTTAAGGAGAAAGCCCTGCTCACTGGTTTTGTTGTCACCCTGTGCCATCCTTTTCACAAACTGCCTGTTTCTATCTGCTTGTATATGCTTTATCTGGACTAGTTCTAGTTTCATTTAGTTTTTTATCTTTCCTCTTCTACCATGCAGCCTGCCTCCCTCCCCAGCCCCGGGGCTCCTTAGCACAGATACCTGCTTATGATGACTTTATGGTAAAATAATCAGGGCTTAGAAAAAACCTCTAATATTCAAATATGAAGCCACTAATATTGCTGTCTGGATTATGTCTTTCATTGTAAATCTCACACAGCAAATACCTGTTATGATCTCTGTAACAGCAGATAGAAATGACAGATAGGACTGGGTCTCACCGTGCCAAGTACTCAGTGCCTACACATCATGCTGTTATTCTTGCTCAGCCTGAATTGTATATACACTTCAATGTCCTTCTCTTAATGCACCCAAACAAGCTGTAATGGTGATTACACATCCCCAGGCTGATATTTTTGTAGTAACCACTTGATTTTGGTTTCTTCATACCCTGTTTAACTTTTAACTCTCTTTATTTCAGGCTAAAATAGAGATCCTGTCCTTTCTTTGGAAATTTTTACCACTTCCTTCCAAAGAATTACCACATCAGTACTTTGAAAGAACCTACCAGCATAATCTGACCTTCAGCTCTGCCCACTGCAGGATCAGCCCCCCGACACCTCCCAACCCCTCTCTGCTGCTTGTCACGGGGCTGCTTTTCTGCATCCTCTACGCCACCATATTCCTGGAAACGTATGCACACCGCCTGTGCAGAAAGATCGCCGGCTCCTTCTTCAAGAGCTGGGAGGAGAAGCGAGCACTTTACCTCTACAAGAAGCTGTCCAGGAAGCACAATGAGGAGCTAAATCGTGTGAGAAACTAAGGGTACTTTTGGAAATACAAGGAATGCCTGAGACCTGTGGCAGTGTCTGGACACAGGCTTCTGCAGTGAAATCATTTAATTTTCCGGAGTTAGAGAAGTGTTTGGAGTCTGGGGAAAAATATTTGGGGAAAAAAAAAAAGGTGAAATGTTGCATTTTGTATTAATTTGAGAAAAATGGGCTAAATTTACTTTTTTTTTTTTTTTTTTTTTTTACTTAGAAAGTCTGGAGTTAGCTGTTCCCAGAATGGTGGGAGATAGCTCATATGACTTGGAGGATATCTGCACCATTAGGCAAGGCTAACTGGGAAATATGTGGGAGTCAGGGTAGGGGAAGAGCTCATTCGCCTCCACCACCATATCCATGCTGGAAGAAGTACATGCTTCCTTTTTTCTCAAGTTATCCCTTCAGGCAGCAAGAAAGGAAACTCATTTGACTTGATTAATTTAATTTTCAGGGAGTTTTTCTTTCAGGTTTCACTCAAGAAACCTGGGTAGACTGCATAAATATTTGCCTTTAGAAAACAGTTTATTCACCTAAAAAAGTGTCATTTCATCCCACTGAAATAAGTTCAAGACCAGTATGACCATGAGATGCACATCCTGAGCATGGGTGGTGGTGCAAATCAGCACATGAGGACTTTATGAAATCACTTCACAATGGCTCTTCAAAATAAGTTATAAATAAAATAGCTGAAGTACCTCTGAAGAGGATGAAACCAACCAATGAAGGCCAATTTGGGTGTTGGTTTCTTTTTCTGAGTAACAAGTGATAGGACAAGAGGAAATGGCCTCATGTTGCACCAGGGGAGGTTTAGATTGGGCATTAGGAAAAACTTCTTCACCCAAAGGGTTGTCAAGCACTGGGACAGGCTGCCCGGGGAAGTGGCGGAGTCACCACCCCTGGAGGTATTTAAGGGACTGTCAATGTGGTGCTTTGGGACATGGGTTAGTGGGGGACTTGGCAGTGCTGGGTTAACGGTTGGAGTTGATGGTCTTAAAAGTCTCCCAACCTAAGTGATTCTGTGATTCTATGATTCTGATTTAGGCCAACATCCTGGAGGACTTAAAAAGTGGTAGACAGAAACTTGACATTTGAGTCAGTGCTCTGCAGGGAACAAGGAAGCAGCAGGACTTGGAAGGCTGGATTTGCCTGAACCAAGAGCTGTTTTTACATATTGGGTTGTTTCAAACTCAGAAACTATGGTATTGCATCCAAGATGCAAAAATCCATCACTGGGGCAGTATATAAAACATGTTATTTTTGAAAGAGAGGCAGATCAGACACCTCTGTAAGGGCAAGAGCCAGGGGGGCGGGGAAGAGAAATTAGTGCCAGGTTAAAAACAAAGCAACTTCACAGCTTCATTTCTTCAAAGTATCTCTATTATTTTCCTCAATTCTTCCATTAGAGTCTTCATTAAGGTAGTTATTTGACATAATGCAGCTCAATGAGATTGAATTACAGAAGTGAAGTGGCAGCTGCAGCTAGATGTACTGAATTCTCTCAGCTTCCAAGGTGCTTGAAAAAAAGTAGGTCTGGATTAGGGGTTTTTTGAGCATCTAACTATCAGAACCCTGGTGCATTCATCCCCACAAGTTTCTTAGTTCCCTGCTGTTCTCATGATTAATTGAAGCACCTTTCTGCCTCTACAGCAACTAGGGGGCTTTGTCACTAGGTTTCTGTGGAAAATGCCCTGTGCTGTTCCGTTTGGGGAAAGGAAAAAGATTTCCACGTGCCCACTGAGTAGCCAGAATTATCTGGATCCAGGGGTTAAACCAGCTGGGAGCAGAACAGAGAAGCTCCTTCAGCCAGCAAACCATCCCAGCAGCATGTTGCCTTCCAACAAGCACATCTTTAAAAAGAGTTTTTCCTTGGGAAGACATATTTTTTTGGCAAGAGATGCGCATTGATCTTTAAGAAATATTTTTTTTTTATGGCCAGCAGCATTTGGGGAACCTCCCTGAGCAACATCCAGTTCCTCTCCCTGCCTTCTGCAGGAGGTCTTCAGAGGAGACTGGGGGATGGGGAGAGGAGGCTGAAAGGGTCAAGTGCTGGGGACAAGCATGGTGATAGGCTTTGTTTTAGAGATGGGCCCTCCAGGTTCAGATGGGGGTTCAGAGTGGATGAACTGCAGAGATGGACTAAGTACCACCCTGAGTGTCCCATTACTTCCTTCAGACAGGGGCTGCCCAGCTCCCAGCCAGGGCAGCTGAGCAGCATGTGAGGCAGCTCCTGAAACACCCCTTTTCAGCCTCAAAAATCATATTTATTAGAAAAACTGACCCCAGTCCAGAGCAGTTCTCCTTGTCTTCTCTAGAGTTTCCTTCAGCTCCCACTAAATTTTAAACACTAAAGACTAATCCTGGGAACTTTACACTTCTAGACTGTAAAATTCAGCATCAGACAAGCCTTGATTAGTGTAATTACATCTGCTTGAAAGGATAATAATCAGTGCGAGGTACTGCCACTCTGCCTCTGCCCCCAGAGTCGCAGCTATCATAAACCCTTCATGAGGCAGAGATGTGCTCCCACTTCCATTTTGCAGAAAAGACTAAGGACAAGATTTTGTAAAGTTCCTTCATGGGTATAACACCAGTTTCAGCCAGTTCATTGACAGGAAACCATGGGCAGCAGAGCCCTTGTTGCCTGCCTGCATGTAGGGGTCAGTTCTCCTGTCCTCGTTTGGACATCTGCCCTAGGATGCAATGGATTGTGCCCCAGGTGTCATCCTTCCTGGCCTCGTGACCCTCACACAGGGCTTTTAGCTTTAATAGCCATGTAGACATCAGCAAGGGAAGAATTTGAGTTTGGAAGGTGAACACAGTGCAAAGTGAGGAGATGAGAATTCGGTGATAGACAGAAAAATGGCTTTTGTTGTGCTGATGCTGAGATTTGTTACTTAGAAAGGAGGGTAATAAACATTGTGAAGTGTTACACTGTGCCATGAAGTGTCATCTTGCTAGTGTCAGAAGGGGTTTTTTAAATGTAGGAAGGAAAAAGTCACTTTGATATGCATTATGGTTATTTTAGAGGTAAAGTTGTACTGATGTTAAAACGTGTGCATGTTGAAGGCTGAAATACTTGAATATCACGGAGAAATCAATGCCCATGAAAAAGTGTAACACAAGAGCTGTCACTTGAGTTGATATCATCAAATATAGACATGTGTCATAGGTAGCTAAGTGATGAATCTGTTCTGAGGAGAAGGGGGATGTTGAAAGCTGGCTCTTTGCCATTACATCACTTAACCTGGAGCCCAGATTTTCGTGTGAGAAACTAAACCCAGGGAACTGTGGCAAACATGACGCTGGAGTGGGAGACTCTGGAAAGAAAAGCTCTGCGTGGTTTCCAGCCTGAGGGACCAGTGAGTAGAGTCAGGGGGAAACCGCAGGTATGGAGTTAAACCTGAACAAGCGCGTAGCAGAGGTGAGCCCTGGGGCAGCCTGCATGGGGTGAGCAGAGGGGACCTGCCAGCATGGCTGGAAGGAGCTTACTCCCTGCAGTAACTTGCTTTTTCACCTCCCTGGGGGTTGTCAACAGGACCTCAGGAACAGAAATGGGATGGGAGGCCCTGAGGACTGGAAGATGCTCTGACAGTCCCTGCTTCA